ATGATAAAGACAGCAAGGACATCCGAATCTATGGTAAAATTCTACGAGACTACACACCGCTGCGACCCACAAGACACACATAAAAATTTGAACTGTATTACTTATTTTGTTTTCTCAGGTATAATTAGCAGTTTAGAAACATTACTAATAATTGGAAAGCAGTAATCATCACAGACTTTCAGACGTCTCTTTCTCTTTACATGTTACCATATTTTATACTTCTTACTTACTTCTTCCACACGTGAGCTCGTTTCACATTAATGACAGAAAATCATAGTGTAAGGCACTGTTTCCCAAACTTTTTCCTTCATTACCCAAAATCGCTTATCAGAAAGTCCTTTTTACTCAATGTGGGTAAAACACTAACTGCACAGAAAACATATATGACAAGTGAAGAGAGATCGGTGAAAAATATGAAACAAATAATATGTTTGATGCAATGCCTTCAGTTTAAGAAAAACTCTAAACATTTTAGCAGCCACAAAAAATTGGTAATTATTCACCATGAATATTTCATCACCCAGGTCCCACCTAATGAGTATAATGCCACTGCTCCATCTTATTTACTAGTTCCGCAAAATTGGGAGCAATTGGAGACAGAGCACGCCTCACATCGTATTCGAGGTTCAGCAAACAGTTTCGTTTTGTGCTCTTTATGAAGGCAAGAGTGGAAATCCTACTTAACATATGTAGGTATGTGTATTCTGAGGTGTGTCGTTACCCAAAGAAAAACCACTTTTACCTATTTTGGGTAATTTACCCATGTTTGGGAAGCACTGGTGTAAGGTATTTTTGAGAATTTTATTGCTAAAAAATATACTACATGTGTCAACAACTATATCGCCAGCACGACGGAAATTTATCGATTTAACATTATTAATAACAACAAAAGTTTATAAACATAAAAAAATCTTGCATGTTTTATGGACTTCACTCATTACTCAATATGCTAAAACGAGACAACGATGGCTCGGGCCTTATACAGCGATTGGATTAGTCGATTCAATCGTGTCTAACAGAATAGGTATTTGACTTGAAAACGGGAGCAGAAGTCAGCTTCCGAAACGTAGTCGTCTTGTTTTAGATCAAGTTAAGGGAAACAGCAATATTGAACGTAAGCCATCGTCATAAGAACACTTAAATAAGTGAAGAATAATGCTACAAAACCGTACAAAACAACGAGCATACGAATTTTCTGACTGACGTGGCGCAGTGGACGGAAATTCAAGCGAAATGATAGCATAATACGAAAACATTTATAAGATAATTAATTTTTAATATTGTTTTGAATTAATTCAATTACCAATTATCTATCCCACAGGTTTACTTTATCAAACGTACGCATTGGCTACTAAACTAACATTCTTATGGACTACAGCCAGTCCCTTCCTCATTCCCATAAACTTTACAACAAACGAAATTTCGTGAAATTTGCTAAGAATAAAATGCTACTGCTGTTGGTGCTATTATAGGCGACCCGATTCATTTACTTTTATTTTATTGTCTTTAAAAATACCAACATGGTGGCCCCGCAAACATTAGATGTATGGGAACATTGCCTAATATATTGTATACGGTCGGGACGTGTTATGTAGGTGATCAATACAGGCTTACAATACTTTTATGAGATTTTTATAACACATAAAAGTGTGGCGACGGCGTGAAATTTATTGCGAATTCATAATATCCAATATGAGATCCTAACTTACTAATGACTCACTGCAGCAAGATTTAGAAAAAAATATGCCTACATATCATATACGAAATGCATAAAAAGTTTTGAGGTTATATCTGAAAACACTAAGCTAATCGGAATCTGTACTACTTGGAAATGTGCAAAGAAACATATAGCATAATTGAAGTATTTATATATTATTTTATTTTCAACTCTTACTAGCCTCTAATATTTGAAGGGAATTCATTGTCGTGTCTTTCCTCAGTAGTTCTTGTTTAAAAATAATTTATTATTGTTCGGTTAAATTTTACTTCTGAAGAATACGTTCAAATGTACGAGGCGCGTCCTCAAAGTAAGTTTCCCACTCGTCCCACAGCTAGCAAACCTTATATTGAGCGAAGCGACTGTGCGTACGTGATAGAGCAATGACGTAGCATGGCGCATGCACTAACGGTACTTCCCGCGTTCTCACAGTAGCATCGTTGCAGCTGTTGAAGATGGAGGTTCTTATTCCAGCTCCCGCCGACTGTGAAGTGCGGTCAGTGATAACGCTAGGATAGGAGTTCAGCTGGGAGGTGTTTAATCATTCACCCTACAGCCCGGATCTCGCTCCCAGTGATTTCCATCTTTTCCTACACCTCAAGAAATTCCTGTCCGGTCAGCGTCAGCGTTTTGAGAATGACAGAGAGGCGGAGATGGTTGTCACACAGGGGGTCCAATCCCAGGCGGCCGACTTCTACGACACAGGTATTCAAAAGTTGGTCCCACGGTATGACCAATGTCTCAATTCCGGTGGCGAATATGTTGAAAAATAGCTGGACACTTGCTGTATCTGTTGCAATAAATATTTCCATGAAATTGTGTTTTGTTTCTGTAAACGGCCCCAGGGAAACTTACTTTGAGGACGCGCCTCGTATCATGTTCTATAGACCTGTGGTTATGATTCTTTAAAGGTTTACGACTTTGTTTGATAATGTTATTTCGATAAAAGTAGGCTACATGCGTTGAACTTCCTTTGTGGTACGTGTAAACGCTCAAATGCAAAACGTCCGTCCCCATTGTCCTCCCCTTTCAACTCGTAACTGTGACCTTTATTTTCATTCCTGAATATCAGGAATGATGATCCGAAATATTTCTGGAGCATGTCAATTATTAAACAAACATTCGAGTTCTCTGTTCCAGTAAAATAGAGAAAACAAAGCAATCTAAACCAATTGTGAAAAGCGCTGTTGTTCCCGAAAACCTATCACAGACCAAACCATACGTAGGTATAATGTTTAACGGTGTACATGTTCGGAACCTGGAACCATGCCATTGTTCCTGCTTGCCTTGAACGTAGAACGCTGTAAATGCGGAAGTTCGGACCTAAATACTATTATGATGAAAACAACTCAAAACACTATTTACACTTACGCTACACATGTTCAAACGAGACTATTACAGAAGAAGATATTTAAACCATGAATTAGACAATATAGCAATGTGCAACTGAATGTAAGTGTAAAAATACAGTCTGAATTAAATTTCTGATCGTCGGAGATGTTTTTCTACAGATACAAATTCTCCAAACAGAACTACTGCATATTTTATTCACAAACCAAAAAATACGTAATGTTTGTAATTATCATTTCGCGTCCCAACCTCAGTAAAGTTCATCATGAAATTACGTTCAATGTCAGCCATTTTACACTCGGTTTATTCTAAAACGTTTTGGTATATGATACCCTATCGCAACACAGAATAAAGTCATCTCACGATTCTCCGGACTGTGATCTCCTTTTTACATTATAACATAATACGCACTTGAAGTAAGATTGGTTCTGGTGGTTGATCTTGAAATCAAAACAGAATAGATTTTATAAATTTAAATTTCTGTGCAGAAATCAAAAGTTTCAAAAATATTTGAAATCACTGATTTAATATTACACTGTTTCCAAACTCTTTTAATGAAAATGTAAATCATATTAACTAAATCAATGCTAAATATTTTTATCCTAAAGAACCACACTGTTATTCTTCAGCCTGTAAGTAAATAATGCATGTCTACTTCATCACTGAAACTTATGTTGGAGGGGGGTGGGGATGAATATCCAATAAATGACATATTAAAAAGGAAATTTTGGGCCTAACTCTCTGTTTCTTCTCGAGCTATTTAGCAATGGTTTATAAAGAACAGTGCATATACGAAACGGTCATTAAGAGATGCTGTGTGTTAACATCATATATGGTATAGTTCAAAATTTATGACAGCTCAGTAGTTAATGAAGTTAAATCGGAACATATAAATCACAGTGTCTCTTAAGATGTAACTGTAACACAGCATTGAGTCCTGTACGTAAATGACTTGAATATATAATTTTATTCTCTGAAGCTTATTTATACCTATATGTACCATAATGCTTTAATATTCATAAATCATTTATTATTACAATAGAATTTATTTATGGATTTATGATTATTAAAATAAACAGCGTTTTTTCACTTAAACGATATTAAAATCCCACCCTTACAGAAGAAGATACGTTGTGTTCTTTTGGAATTCAATATCTGAATATTATTTCAAATAAATAGAGGATGTGAAGGTCTAAATACAGTTGTTACTAGTGAAGACAATTTATTATTATTTCCTTATTCTTTATTGCTGTAACGTTTTAGAAGCTACGCTTCCTGACATCTATTTTGAAGTACACGAAGTGCAACTAAAGGGAATGCGATGCTGTTGACATCTTCTGGGCTATTTATGAATTAGTTGTATAAGTCAATGACAGGAAAAATCAATTCACTGCCACGCCTGCGCAACTTCTCCAGAACGTATTATAATGACTGCATTTCTTTACCGAGCAGTATATTTGTGAGAGTTTGTTCCTGAATCGTATGGCATATTAGTAATGTGATGTAACTATCTTGAAAGAAACTTTATAAACATTTCAGCCGTAAATAGTGCTTCATTTACAGAGAGTAACATGATTAAATATAAGCTTACGTTTAGAATAATGTATTACTGGTTCAAAGTGTAAGAGAGTTACCTAGGAAACGTCGTGTTTACTGTTGTTTCCTATAAAATATTACATTACATACATTAAATTACTTTACATTACATTCAGCTACCACAGACCCATCTGAAGCGTAACTAATTCAAGTTAAATAAGAAAAGTCATAATCAAACTTTACTCAATTGTAAAGCGTGTATAAAGGAAATATTTAGAATAAAGCCAATATATAAACTTCCTTTCCGTATAGACGTATTTACGTCAAATTCTCCGGAACCGTGGTTCAACTGACAACTTTTTACATTGTTTACAAAACAGTCAACAAACAACAAATAGTCAACGTTACCGCATTTCTGTGGAAACGCTTTCAGTAAAAAGTTGGAAATTGGTAAAGACGAACTACAGAACGGAAAACTTCGATATTGGTAATTATTATATTCAGTGTCGGAATTAATTTTGATTTGTTTTGGTGCATTCTATTTAGACACGTGAATTCGAATTTTATTGTGTAATAATCAGAGCGTAATAAATGTTATAATTACCAACCTCTATCAACACAACAAACAGATGGCATGATAAAATAAAGTTTTTTTTGAGTATACGGTAATGACACTGTGCATTCTTTAAAAGAAGGAAATTTTTCAAGCAGAAAAATAAGATTTTGAAGGGCGACTATAATGTGATGTGAGCTTACACGATTATACTGACGGTGTGATATGTTCTTTCGCAGTATCTTGGTTATTGCATCGCCCGGCACCAACTATAACCTTCAAGCACAAAATGCATATATTCAATACAAACAATAAGACAGAACCCCTTGACCTTCTTATGCCTTGTGCCTCGGAGCTGTAGTGTCACTGGGATCTAGGTCTATTGTAATTGCAATATGCGATATATTTGTGCAGCGTTTTCTCTGATACAGAACGGATAACGATCTAGCACATATACAAATTCATCATTTGTTATTTTAAATGTTCTATTGTCTGTTATGTGTTTTGCCCTTTGTCATAATATGTAAATTACTTTTACAAAATTATGCAAGATGCACTTCCTGATATGTATCATGCGAGAGTCTAGTAGTCATGTATTTCTTAGTGGCGTCTAAAAATGTGTGCTTCATGAAAATTTGTAGGTCTTGAATTTTGCAGTACAGAATTTAACCACACTATAGTTGGTCACTCACTACTCACAAATGCATACTTCAAAAGACTACGAAACCTTCAAAAGGAGGCGGAGAAGACGCCCAATGGGTTGTAGAGCCACGGGAAGAAGAATAAGAACAGTTGTACCGTTACATGCCTTTATTTCTTTAATGTTTTATAGCCACTAAGAAGGCTGCCATTAAGCATTTGATCAAAACATGTTTTTATCATTATATTGTAAAATATAAGAAATTTCTACAAACAAAATAACACAAATTTATTTAATAAATAAATAAACAATCAACAAGACATTAAATTGATTTGAGCATCATATGTGACCATTGCATTCTGAAAAGTACGTATATTATACAACCGGTTGCCCTTAATTATGATTCCTGTTCTTTGTTTAGGTTTAGAATAATGTACTACTGGTTCAAAGTCCAAGGACAATTCCTAAATATTCGCTGTAGCTGTCTTCGTCTTTTTATAATAGGACGAATCTGCTAAGAAGAAAATTCGGAAATCAAACACGCTAAAACAAGAATTATGATACGTATGTAACTAAACAAATGACGATGGAGAATAGTTGTGTACTTTTGCAAAAAATATTTATTAAACTATAAAAATATTATTCAAGTATAAAAAACTTTGTTCTTTTTATAACACACAAACGAGTTTCATGTCGACTAAATATATGTGAGATATTACTAAAAGAATTGATGTTGCATTTTGTCTGTGATGCGCTATTTGGAGAATAAATTCGCCATTTACCAAAACAAATTTATTTGTAAGCATATAATTTATCGTTAAAACAGCACTTTGTTGTATCGACTGAGCAGTGTGATAAACGAGTACAAAGCTCTCCATGTACACCAGAGGAAACAACTGCACAAACAGTTAGCGCCTCTTGGTGAGGTTACACGAACTACGTTATCGTTTGCTTCCGATATAGGAGATCGATAATGAATGAAACCGGAATTTTGAAGACGAGTGGAGACATCTTCGTCTAGTTATCAGAAAGTGACATATGATTTACAAGAATGTAACTGATGTTCTTCACAGCACCCCATTACAAGTTGTAACAGAGAGCTTCACGGCACTGCTTTGCACTAGAACAGGGTTTCTCAACCTTTTTCGCTGGCGTACCACTAATTCTAATTTAACACATTAAATATACCACTAACCAAATACGTTCAGGGAAAACTTATTTATGTTAATATTATCTTTTGATATTCTTACTTAGTTCGCGTATCACTCAACATTGGCTCGCGTACCATCAG